TATATTTTATAGCCAAAACCAGTTTGGCTCAGTGGTAGAGCGTCGGTCTGCGGACTGAAAGGTCCCAGGTTCAATTCCGGTCAAGGGCATGTACGTTGGTTGCGGGCACATCCCCGGTAGGGGGTGTGCAAGAGGCAGGTGGTTGATGTTTCTCTCTCATCGACGTTTCTAGCTCTCTATCCCTCTCTCTTCCTCTCTGTAAAAAATCAATAAAATATAGTTTAATATATATATATATATTTTAGTCTTTTAATACATACTTGTGTTGACATCTTGTTATAGTTATATTACTGTGATGTTTTAAGGATTTAAAACAGTGTAAGAATAATTATTTGTGTGACTTAGAATAGGAATGAAAGCATTTACTTTTATGAGTGACTTATAGTTTAAGTGTGAATTGTATTTCTGATCTTATTCTGATTTTATTTTAAGTAAGAGAAATTATTTGAAATGTGTTTCAGGCTTAGTATAAGTAACTCCATATAATGTGACCTGAATCTACTTTGTAAAACTTGAGTTTTAAAACTGACTTTGAGCCCCTAACTGTGTGAACGCCCTAACGTGCTTATCTGGAAAGTTGTAACTGTGAACGCCCTAACAAGTGTTTATCTGGAAAGTTGGAAACTGAGGCAAAAGGTACCTGGAGAGCGCCCGATTAGACACACTGAAGATTTATTGGTTACACCCAGAAGGAATTAAGAAACACCCAGAAATGGCCATAAAAGGGACCTAGAGGCACTGGGCAGAGACCACGAAGGGCTCCTCCACCTGACGTGCTCTCCCATTCTCTTCTCCCCGTTCGAAATACTGCATGAGACTGCCTGAGTGAAGCTGTCACTCTGCCTGTGAGCCAAACTTCTGAGGCCTCGTTCCTGCCCGAGATGCTGCAGCAACGTGTCCCTGTCCAGTGTGTGTATCTGTCGGCGCGGATCTCCAGGTGACCTGCCTAGGCTTCTGGAAACCACCAGGACTCTGGTAAATAAACCTTGGGATTCATGCATTTTAACTCTTGTGTCCGTGTTTAGTTTATGCTCGGTCAATTTTAGTTAAGTACTGTGGGCAACCCGTATAAGTCCAGTTCTCTGGCTGAGGGACCCCAGTCACCTGTGCATAAGTTCCCACCTGAGGGTGAGTTGGAACACATCTACTAAACAGTTTAGAACTAAACCTACATTTTTTTGGAGACTGATTCAAAATCCAATATTAAATTTCTGTAGTTCTGTTGCCGGAAACCCGATTATTGTCACTAATATAGAGAAATGTGAACAGGGAATCCGGAAGACTGGTCAACCTTAATTGCTCTGAAAGGTTGGAGCTAATCACTCATTGTTTAGTTGAGACATTAATAGTTAAAGTAGCCTCCACCTGTTACTCTTATGTAAATTCTTACTAATTGTCTATTATTGGAATTTCCTGCCTAGAGAATATGGGTGTATCTCATAACCTTAATAAAAAGGATAGCAAAGCCAGAGCAGGGTGTAGTCCTCCCCCTAGAGATGGGACTCCCGCCTGGCCCCCAATATTCCCAAATTAATACTTTTCTAATCTCTTTCATTTGTGTGCGGCCTTCTCCAGAACTCGAACCCTGAACAGGAACCTTGAAACATGAGGGCTGTGAAAGGGGCTCCCACATTCTGTGTTTTTTTGTTTTTCAATGATTCAACTATGTGGAAAATTTCTGCTTTTTAAAATAAATATTTTTTACTACATACTATAAAATTAACCCATCAAATGTATAATACTAAATTTGATGAGTTTAACAAAGTTGTAGAGTTGTGCAACCATCACCACAAAAAAAAAAAAATAATTAGAACATTTATCTCTAGTTTCTATTTGTAGCTAATCCCTGTTCCTACCTCTAGCCCTAAGTAACCACTGATCTGCTTTCTTTCTTTACAAATTTGCCTTTTCTGTGTAATTCCTATACTAGTAAATGGGATCATAGCCTATAAAGTCTTTTACATCCAACTTCTTTTATTTAGCATAGTTTTTAAATTTCATCCATGATGTAGCAGATTTAGTTGGTCATTTTAATTGCTAAATAGTATTCTATATTGTGTGTGTGTGTGTGTGTGTGTGTGTGTGTGTGTGTGTGCGCGCGCGCACGCACACATACATGGTATTTATCATAGTTTGTTTATCCATTCAACTAAAGATGGTACTTTTGACTTGTCTCCAGTTGGGGACCATTACAAATAATGCTGCTATGAACATTCACATACATGTTTTTGGGTGGATTTATATTTTAATTTCTCTTTTATAGATTCCTAGTAGTAGTATTGCTGGGTCATATAATAAATTTAAAACATCTCTATTTTTATCTAGCTTTTTAAAAACAAAGCATTTAAGGCCCTGGCTGAGTAGCTCAGTTGGTTAGAGCATCATCTACATACTCCAAGGTTACGTGTTTGATCTCCTGTCAGGACACATACAAGAATCAACCAATGAATTCATAAATAAGTGGAACAAACTGATGTTTCTCTCTCCCCCGCCCCCTCTAAAAATCAATAATATTTTTAAAACCCCAGCATTTAAAATTGTGAATATTAGAGATTTTCAAACCATGAGCAAACTGGATCATTAGTTCTCTTAGTTCCTAAATACATAATTTAGCGTGTTCAACTCATACACTGCTCTTCATGGTTCCTTCCCACTGTCCCAAGCCTTGAAACAGTGCAATATAGGAGGGGGAGCATCAGGTAAATTAGTAATGGCTCCAATCATAAAATTCAGTTTTTTGTTACTGCTAGAGAAAGCCATTGGGCCATGGAACCAGACCTGCAGGCATGAACAGATATGGAAAACAAAGAGAAAAACGTTTTCCCACATTTTCACAGTATTATACTCAAAGGGAATTTTTTTTTTTAAAAGAATGAGACAGTCTGAATAAATGGCAAATATAATGCTTTTCTGTAAAGGAAGAATATTTTTTTAAATAATCAAATATAGTAACTTTTATTTTAACTATTTTCAAGTAGCATAACTAGAGAATAGTATTTCTGAGAATAAACTTATTCTCCCCTCACTATTACCTATTGCTTATATAAATTATCTGAGTCAAGAACAACAACAAAATTCAGGATACATAGATGATCCCGCTTTAATTTTGTTTTTTTGGTTTTGTTTTTGTTGTTGTTTTTAAATTCATGATGACAACCAGTAAAAATCAAACTGGAGAAATATCACTCAGTAAAAACACTACTAAAAGATAATGTTAAACCAAAAAAATGTATTATTTGGTGACTTCAAATTTCTGAGGACAAATATCCTCAATCCTATGGCTGAGTCAGCTATCAGTGAGATGTGGAGTAAAGCACTGGGTATCTGGTTTTCCATGGAAATTTATATTTGTGGATTTCCTTTTTTATTTTAATTTATTGAGGTAAGATTGGTTAATAAAATGATATAGGGTTCAGGTGTACAATTTTATAATACATCATCTGCATATTGTACTGTGTGTTCACCACCAAAAGTCAAGTCTCCCTCCAGTTACTACATTTATCACCTCTGTGGATTTCTATATAAAATTACAAAATAAGTTCTTTGGAAATAGTACACTCTTAGTAGTATCTGAGAATCCTGCTTAGCTTTTATGATGTATTTTGAGTACTAGTATGGCCATAGGAGCTAGCAGGATTAAACTGCCAACTATTTATTTGCCTTTTTCAATATTTTCTTTATAATAACCTGACAATGCATGTCCTCATCACACCAAAGCTAGCAGCAGAAGCTGCTATTTTTGGCAACTCAGATCAAAAAGAAAAATAAAACAAAGAAAAAAGCCTTAATACATAATCACCCTGCTTATCTCAATTTAATTTTTAACTTAAAATGAACGGTCACTTTTTCACTATTTTAGGATATATTTCTAATTGGAAAAAGTTAACATTAACTGCAATAAAGGAAGCAAAGACATAACAAAAAAGTTTTCATAACTTAAATTTCATAATTGATAAGAATTTCAAAGAGAACACTTTGGGTGAAAATAATAAAACAACTTAAGTTCTGATTTTTTAAATTGTAGGAATTAAAGTATTTTTGTTGTTGTTAATTAGCAATTTAAAATAGACTTACTTTATAGCTATGGAGCTGATGACAAACTTAATTTAAAATCTGAGTGATAAAATAATCTTAAAATACCTCATCTACTGTATTCAACTAGTTTCTGACCTCAATACAAGAAACAGAAGTACCGCAGGGAGAGGAAAGGGGAAGTTGTCATGTTTTTCTCCATACCTAGACAGTGAAATTTCAAAGGAAATAGTGCTACCTACAAGGATAGCAATAATTGTGCTAAGTGGCCATTTTAGGTCAAAAATTGTATTTCTGAAATCTCATTTTCTTGGCAACAATTACTGTTTACAATTAAGCTTAAAAACTTGTCCTGGTATTTTATGACATCAGGAAAATTCTTTCCTCTCCAGGCGGAATGCCAAAAACAACTAGAGCTAAATGCCTAGGCCTTCTCCTTCTCAGAGAGATGACTTTCTCTTGTTCAAGCTAAACTAGCTCTGCTATAAGAAAGGCAAAAACTTCTTTTTTGTGAATAAAATAGAAACTATCCTGAATTTGAACTGCCAATCTTAAGATTTTTTTAAATGACTGAAGGATCTTAAATGGGTCTGGCAGAAAACTCATTAAAAAATAAAACAGGTTGCATAAGACTTTTGACACAATTCATTAATGTGTAAGAGAATTTAAGGTTTCATTTCAAATATAAATGTTAACATTATAAATCTAATGGTAGCATACGGATATTACAAAATGCCAAAATCTAAAAAAAAGGCAAACAAGTATTTTTGATTGACAGCTATGTTAATATTCATTCATAGCACCAGAGATAAAATTCTGTTTTTATCCATTATTTATCTTTCTACGTTGATATGGCTGATCATTTAATTTAATGACAACCAGAAAGCTGAAAGAGGACGGGGGAAAGAGAGAGAAAGAGAGAGAGAGACAGAGCTGGAGAGACAGAAAGATATACACCGAATTCTTACCTTCCTCCCCAAACTGATCATATATTTCTCTCTTTTTAGGATCACTCAATACTTCATAAGCTTCTGCGACCTCTTTAAATTTTTCCTCTGCCTGAGGAGATTTGTTCTTGTCCGGATGAAATTTGAGGGCTTGTTTTCGGTAAGCCTTTTTAATATCTTCATCTGACGCTCCTTTTTCAATTCCCAAAATGTGATAATAGTCTTTCCCCATTTCGAATGCCTTGAAATGAACTTAGGTTTCCCTTTGTGAAAGAAAACTGCGTCCCCAGTCTTAGCAATACAAGGATTCTAAGGAAAATAAACCAAGCAGGGTATTTTAAAAGTTAAAGCAAATTAGCAATTCAGCCTCGCGGTCTTAAGGCAGCAAGCAGACAGCATATCCGTATTTAATTCCTTCCCCAACAGCTCACTTACAGATAAATATACACTACACAGGAGGCAGCCTTCATCTAGGTCCTCCCATTTTCACTACGTGTCTCTGTACTTTCTAGAACAGCGAATGCTACAGGACGTCACTTCCCCAGCTGCCGCTAGTCAAAGATCTGAGCTGGGTTTTCTCCTCCTCCCCGATTAACTATTCATTTTCCTTCTGGCTCCACCATCTGCATTTCCTTTCTAAGAGGCCAAGAAGATTAAGAGACCAATATTTCATCATTGAATGTCATAACTACGCTTTTTTATTTACTCCATTCTAGGTGAAAAGTGACAAAAATAATTATAGCTATTGGGCATCCTGTGTTAAAATAAGTTAAACTTATTATGCCAATATACCTATGGGACTTATTTTAGGTATTTTCACTTCGATTTCAAGTTACTCATGTGTAAGATATACAATTCTAAAATGTGGTTTGTCTAAATTAAAATTTTCAAAAAAATTTGTGTCATTTTCAAAATTCCTGGGTTTATCCATCAAAATGCCAGGAAGGCCATAATACCAAATTCACATTGTAAAAAAGGCTATATCATAACTTCAAAAACAATATTTTAAAAATAACTGGAGGACTTAAATATTATTTTAGCTAATGATTTAAAATGGTCTTTTATAGTAAACAAAAGTTAATAGTCCTGGCAAACTAATATTTATAAAATCTTCATATCTGATTTTAGTTACTTCAACTAACACAGAAAGAGACACCTCCAATTCCTTAGAGTCACTGAAGGCCTTTTGTGCTGCAGGACAGAGAGGAGAAAAGTATCAGGTTACCAACAGTAAATACTCATGTTTCTTTCAAGACCTTAACTGGATCAGCTTAAAATCTGAATATGCTATTTTCAGGGCAATAGTATGAGAAATATTTTTTTCTTTTTAGAACACATTTTCCCTAATTATAAATATAAATTATTGTTAAAGATTTTGGAAAACAGAAAGGAAAAAGATTAAAATAAAGACCTTCCTATCATACCACTTTAGATAATTCCCTGCTTAATATTAGTGTATTTTCTTCTAATTCTTTTTTTTCTTAGGAATATTTATGTTTATTTATTTATTGTAGTTTGGTATATTTAATAACAAATTTTATGTCATATCACTTATATACCCTTCTGATGTCTGCTCTTATATATTTTGGATATTCATGAGTAATGATTTAAATGTATATAACTAATCTCTTATTTCCTGTATGGTTTCTTTTCAAAGTGCTCCTATTTCTAATATAATATTGAAAAGATGGATTAAAAAGAAAATGTCAAAAGAATTGCATAGAAAAAAGAATTATATAGAGCCTTATACTTAATTATCTTGTCTGTTAACTTAAAGTAAAAAAAAACCATTTATGAAGAAAATTAAATGTACATATATGTTTAGAGTATAATGAAAAGATGATAATTATGTCTTAACCTTTTAAAGTATGGGAACACCTACTGTATATGCCAAACAGCTTTACATTAATGATTCAGCAATTCTTTCAGATGTCCTTTTTGTGCATTCTGATAGCTTTCCTATTTCTCAAAACTTTATTTTAAGAACATCTTGACGTTAGAAATTTATAACATCTATCTAGTCTAGTTACAGATTATAAAGGTTTGTCAGGTATTCAACAAAAATTTTAGTCTCATCAAGAAATACTCAATGTCAAAAGATAAATTTTCAAATTCAAAAATACACAGAAAACAGTACTAATATACAAAGCCACTTTAAGACTTCTACTTAAAAAAAAAATCAAATTGGAGTCCAATGTAGGGATCAACAATTAATTACCAAAGTGACATTACTATCAATGAAAGGTCTAAATTATTCTGGTGGGTAACACTGAGAAGAAGAAAAAAGGAAATTTTCATCTGATTTGATAATTTTCAGAGAGCTAAAAATATTATAAGGACTTGGCATATTGAGTGATTTTAAAAACCCAACGACTAGGTTTTCCACATTTCTAAGAAATTCATTATTTATTAACAAATGAAAAGAAATTTGGTTCTTCATACATAGAGAAGGTTTGATAAAAGGATTTTCATCTTCAAATATCTTAAACACATAAAAGAATACTAGTGGTAAAGTCAAAAGGCCAGAATTCACCTCAACTTGGAAATTTCAAGTTAATAAGAAAGCAATTATAATTTTTAAGACTTCAAATAATAAAATAACCTAATAGCTTTTGACAAAATGACCAGATACTTATACACTTATTGCTTTAAAAAGATATTTTTATTGATTTTTTTAGAGACAGAGGAAGGGAGAGGGATAAAGGGAGAGAAACATCAACGTGAGAGAGCAGTGTGAATCCCCTCTGGAGACCCGCAACCCAGGCATGTGCCCTGACTGGGAATCAAACCAGCTACCTCTCCGTGCTCCAACCAACTAAGCCACACTAAGCCACACTGGTGAGAGTGGGTTATAACTCTGTAACTAATTCTTTCAAATATTTGGGAACAGTTATTAAAAATGGTTTTAAAAACCCCTGTATATAACACACTTGGAAATTTGTCCTTAGAAAGTAATTCTTAGGCTGAAATGATTACGGTATATATACAAATATACTCATTGCAAATATATGCAAATATACTTAGTATATGCATATATCTAAGTATATATGCAACTATACTTAGATGCAATCGGGTAATGGGTCAATATGATCATTTTTAAATTACCTAATATTTTAGAGACATTTCACTCTTACATTCACTTTTTCAAAGTGATCTGAACCACTTAGGGGTTGAAATTCCCTTACACAATCACTTCACTTTAAATTTTTGTCATCCAAGTTTGCATGATATAAATGTGGGGTTTTTTGAGGGCAGTGGGAGAGGCAAGCAATTAACATCCCTGTAAATAATTACCATGACAAAAATAAAATATATAAAGGGAACAGTAGTGACAGACTTTTAGGAAAATGGAGCAGAAAACAATATGTGAACAATGCTCATTCAATTGTTTTCAAAAGGAAATAGGAAACCAAAAATACTATAAAATAGAGTCTATTTGCAACATTTAGAAATCACATAAATACCTGCTTATTTGATACTACAGGTATGTGTATGTGTGACAGAAAATTTGAGAACAAAAACTAGCTAGAATTTATAACTTATTTTTTTCCTTAAATATTTTTAAGACTCCTTTATAGCAATTTAAAGTATATTTCATTGATTTTCTTTTTAGAAAGGAAGAGAGGAGAAGAGAGAGAAAAACATCAATGTTGGAGCAAAATATTGATCGGATGCCTCCTGTACACCCCTTCCTGGGGATAGAGCCTGCAACCCAGGCATGTGCCCTTACCAGGAATCAAACTGCCAACCTTTCAGTACACTGAATGACATCCAACTAACTGAGCCACAGCAGCCAGAGCAATATTTTTAACAAAGATGAAATTAGTGTTTGTATTTTTAAAAAATACTATATTTCTTTTTATTTCAGAGAGAAAGGGAGAGGTAGAGAGAGATAGAAACATCAATCTTTGATCGGCTGCCTCCTGCATGCCCCATACAGGGGATTGAGCCGGAAACCTGGGCATATTCCCTGATGAGGAATTGAACTGTAACCTCCTGATTCATAGGCTGAGGCTCAATCACTGAGCCACATTGCCTGGGCAGTGTTTGCATTTTTAAATTTTTACTTTACTATTAACACTGATGAGATCATTCCATGACAATACAATTATTTCCTTTATTAAAAGAAAGTTACAAAAAATCAAATTCCTCTCAATATTTAGTTTATAAGGTCAAGTTCTCATGCTAAGAATAGGTCATCTGTGGCTGAAAGCAAGTTACAATATATTCTAAAATAAATGATTTTCATTTATTCAACCAAATCAGAAATCTTGAGTGTATTTATTACTTTGTTTATCAAAGTTAATAACAACAAACTTTTTGTGCTTATATTTAGGGGAAAAGTATCACTCTATTAAGAGAGCCATGCATGAGTCAGGATTAAGTAAAAATTTTAACGATACTATATTTTTTTTCTATATCTTTACAAAACTTCCTTATTTTGGCTTATTATGCTCTTTAATAAATATAGAAAAATTATTTTTATAAAACTATGAGATTTTTATTTTATAATCATAGTTCATAAAAATCAGAAAAAAAGCAAATATTAAATATATTTAGATAATGAGAGCTAAAAATAATTTTAATCACAAAAAAACTAAAAAGTATATTACTAGTCATCCAACTAATGCTATCTTTGGCTTTACTCAGATACAATAAAAATGTTTTCTTTCTCCAACTCACAAATCATTCTCAGTTGATAATAAGTATAGTGAAAGGCAACATGGCTTCTAGAGCCTCAGAAAAATGATTATCATTAAAATTCAGATCGTCATACTTAAATACTCAAAGACAAATGACTTCTAATATTTTACCTATGTTTCTATTGAAAACTTTTCTGTCAATAATTAATTCTTAAATGAGTATGTTTTGTCCTGAAATTTCTCAGTGATTGGTTTTAATAAATTATGACTTTCATTCCCTGCTACTTCTTATCAAGAATAAGAAAATTGGGGGTTTTTATTCTTTGTTAACAGTATTTTAGATATTGAATATAAGCTCAAATATAAGTATGTAACAGTGGTTGTAAAATTTGCTAAGATGGCACAAGGGAATATCGATAGTGTAGTCGTTAAAAGCACAGACTTTGGAGCCAGACAATCCAGATTCGAATCCTGGCAATACCACTTACTAGCTGTGTGGCCTTGGATTTCACTTCTCTGTGTCTCAAGTTCCTCATCTCTTAAATGGAATTAATATTTACTAGAGGCCCAGTGGACAAATTTCATGGCA